GAGTCTTTGAACACGAATTTCAATATTATCCACCAAACATAGATCATAATTTCTATTAATCTCTAGATCAATATATAAATAACGTGTTTCTTTGAGTATCTCGAACTGTTCTTCTGCATAAAAACCATTGTAGTTGGCCATTAGATGAATTTATGTCTAAGGAAAAATATAATGTGTACTTTTCAATACATGATGCTCTTTACAAAAAAAACAAGATTATTTCTAACATGGGCTATCGAATAAGCATGAATAGTTGAACTCGAAATCTCAACTGTTCCTTCTTTACATTTTTCAGCAACATCAAATAATGCAGATATACTCAATTGTGCTTGACTGGTATCAATAAACAGAATAATCATCTAGATCGTTTCTTTGCGAAGCGGAAGACACTTCAAGAGAAGATTATGAGATAAAAGAACAGTTGCCCAAATTTAATGACAAAAAATCTGTAATGATTGTTTGATTATAATGACGATACAACATCAATGACGAATATTGCCAACCAACAATTGATTTATTAGACATCCAACACTAAAAAAATAAGAATTCGCAGAAGAATGTTTTCATTAATTGACTCATGTTCTTATCTTAAAGGAAATCGTTAAAAAAAATGTTCATATAACTGAGAATTTTTACACACACATAAATTACATGCAACCTACCTACATTAGTTTCAACATCTCGATTTTTTATTGAATTAGAACTATCGATAAGCCAAGTGCCATTAGGAAGGACAACGTTGTAATATAGAAGAGTGCTCTCAAGAATTGAATATATCATACCAGTAAGATTCGTATTGACAAAGCTAACATATGATAATTTAGCGGCAAACCATGATGAATGAATGAGAATAGTTTTTGAAGTAAAATTTACCTTGTCTAAAGTTGATCCATTAAAATTTGCATAAGATAAATCTGTATTATCAAAGTGAACATGACATAATCTTGTTTGTCAAATATCAGCATGATTTAAAATGACATGATCAAAAGTTGATTGGACATTCTCATCTTCCAGTGTACAGAACCGTGATCCAGTAAAATTAGCATTAGACATAATTGATCCAACAAAACTGACACCATGGAAAAATTGACAGTTTATAAATGATGCATTTATCAGATTTACAGATTCCAGCTTTAAGCCAAAAAAACGTGTAGACACCTGTTATTGAATTTTCAATTATAACACCATGTAGATCAGCACCAGCCAAAGATATTCTAGAATATGAACTAAATCTATTAGGTAGAAGATTATTTTCATAGAGGAAAATAGATAGTTGACTTTTACGTTCACTGTCAATTTCTCTCAATGTGATCAATGTCTTTCGACGAATATAGAGCATTTTACTTTATTCATTACAAAAGATTGATTGATTATGTGGTTGTTTATAAAGTGAATTTGAAATATCCTCAATATAATTTGCAAAGACTGTTTGATAATGAAGATCATCTGCCTGTCGTTGATCTTCTACTCGTTGTAATAAGGCTAAATCAATATCTTTCTGACGTGTGAGATATGCTAGTCGAGCATCTTCCTCTCAATGTCGCTCACTTATTTCTTTCTGTTGTACGTAAGTAACCACTGTAAAGATTGCAATCATCAATGGAATAGAAGCTAATAGTATTATGTTTGTCCATATGCGATAATGGTGAGATTTTGTGTTAGTATCCTCTTTTTCTACCATGATTGTTAGTAGAATGACCCGTATACGTGAGTGTTGTTTAGAAAATGTATGCTAAGATACGATAGTTTAACCGAAAAAGAGATGATCTAAAAATATAAAAAGAAAAACAAAATAACAGACGGGCCATAAAGAATGAGCCTCTCCTTTTTTTGTATTTTTTCCTACAGTATTTCAACATAACCGGAACTTTTTTCTCAAAGATTTCTCGTCAAATTCTCTACAAAACTGTACTATATGCTTAATTCAAGAAAACATTATTATTCGTTTAAACTATAGCAAATTGACTTGTTAAAAATAACCGACTTTCAAAACTATATTTTTAATGGAGTTCTGGATTAATGTTGTTTTAGATTTCGAACCAGGATTTTTTTCAATCTCTTCCTAATGCAGCTCATGGTATATATGAAAAGAATTCTAACAAAGCATTCTAAAGATTAGAAAGTAGATTTTTATATGTGTGTGACTGATTATATTATTACTAATAGTACAACTTGTGCACGGAAATCTTTTTGACACAACTGTCATGCTCAATTTTCAGTTTAGATTTACGACAACTTTTTTATGGTTTTGATTTTTGCTTAAGGTCTCTCTCATTTTTCAGAACCAAGTTTCCGATAAACATTTTTTGAAAGTACAGAATGTATTCATGCTTTAAAATTTCTGAAAACACTAGAATGCTATCGTAAAATAAAAACTCAATATTGAGCATGACAGTTGTGTCACAAAGGTTTTCATTCACAAATTGCACTATTAATAATAATATAATCAACCACACATATAAAAACCTACTTTCTAATATTTAGGATGCTTTGTTAGAGCTCTTTTCATGTGTACCATGAGCTCTATTGTGAAAAGATTGAAAAAATCCTGATTCAAAATCTAAAAAATATTATTCCAAAATTCCATTAAAAATATAGTTTGGGGTGTGGGTGTCGGTGTCCATGAATAGGAGACCCACACCCACTCTTTGGGTTGGAGGCATCATCGGGCCGTTCTTCTTTTATGACAACGTTACTGCAGACAGCTATCTCGAGATGCTCCAAAAAGATATTGTATCCTCTATTGCAAATGAAATGGATTTAGAAGAGATAGTCAATATGCACGACGGAGCACCGGCTCATTACGCTCAATCTGTCTGGCACTTTCTGGACAAAACATTTCCTGATATGTGGATTGGTCGACGTGGATGGATTGACTGGCCGCCACGATCTCCAGACCTCACACCAACTGACTTTTTTTTATGGGCTGTCATCAAAGAGCATGTGTACGCGACGAAACCTCAAAGTCTTCAAGCACTGAAAGATGCGATACTCACTGAAATACGAAGTTTACCGGTGAAATTTTGTCAAAGCGCTTGCTACTCAGTACCTGAGAGACTGCAAATTTGCAAAGACTTAGGTGGTAAACATATTGAACAATTTCTCTGAAGAACTTCGTAATAAGAACACTCCACAAAGACATCCGTTTGCACGTATTTTTTTCTTAGTTGGAACTTGTAATAAAAGTTTTATTGGAATTCACAAGTTTTTTCTTCTTGTTAGTCGTTCTGTATCGGAACGCTTTTAGTTTATTTACTACATTTACATATCGTTCATATGCCCAATCCTTTATTTATCACACCTAGTATATGTGGTATAAATATCAGGCGTAAGCAACAATCTATAAGATTGAAATCGAAAAATAAATACTATTTTTCCTTACTTTTGGGCCATCCGGTATATACATATAAAAAGTTCCCTTTCTTATCACGTGATTCATCGATCACCCTTAGTACTTTTTTGTTGTTAACTTTAAAATCACACACGGTCTTGCTAGCATGCTAGACAGCATACTCAATATTGGTTTATCCCAATCTATCGACCATTCGAAATCTCAATGACACATCATCAACAACAGAACTGTTCAAGATCAGGACTCAGCTAGTTCATCAATTATATACTCGGACTTTCGTATCAACTAACTTCTGCTACTATCTCATTGTATTCATGTTCCCAGTGCTAATGGTATGATTCCAAATCAATCTAGTTCATCGAATATCAACAACTATACTATATCTCATATTCAAGGGAGTGATGTGGATGTGAGATCAATCTGTTCTCTACACACACATCCACAGCCACCCTTAATTGAGGAAAAACAACGAAGAAGCAATGCAGTTGATCATGTCATTTAAAAGCAGCCGAAGCACTAGTAACAGATAGGGAGCGAATGGCAAAGCACGAAAATTAAAGAATTACTAAATACATCGAAACAAGAACATTCCTATCATATAAAGATTGCCTTGTATCTATGTTGTTACATGACCGAAAAAAACCAAAATCCATATGTACAAATGAGAGAAACACTGTAATGCGACAAAAAAATAATTTTCTTCTTCTTGCGCTACAATGCTTGTCCCTATGACTACAGAACGAAAAAAATATTATATACATCTTAACCTGTTTTTCATTTATGCTTGAAAATGATATGTTGAACAACATTGAAAGCTCATATGCTTTCCAGAATAAAGGTACAAAACAACAGATATTAAGTAAATTGGCATGATCAGAGTTATTATTGAATTTTCATTTATTATTTTAGTAAACATTTGAAAAGAAACTTTGCGTGAAAAATTTGGCTTAAATTCAATGTGGTCATTTATGTGAAGCTTCTGGTGTCGTTACCAGTCGAAATACATGTTGTTGTTTTTTCTGTCGTCGAAGTTCTTCCGAATGAGCCAGAGTGCACCGTTGTTCACATATCTCACAATAATTCAATGAATGACAATGAATACAATCAAAGCGAATGCCCTCAATTTCTTTGTGGCAATTCTTGCACCTGAAAATGATTTTGTTATAGATCTATAGGTTAATTGTATCGAATTATTTACCTGATCCCTGTATGTACGACTCTTTGTTGATTTTCTAGGGCACTTTTCATTTGTTCTTGAACCGTATTTACGATTGGTATGTAAGGTAGAGCCTGGTCCCAGTCAAAATTTTTGCCACATCCTGATTGCTGATCACCTCCATGGTAATTTTGTCCACATATCATACTACTGCATCCTCCCATGTGTTGCACGACTCGTTTACAATGTGGACAAAGACGACAAGTCTTAGCTTTTAACTCCTCATCCGCTTTCAATTCTTCGTAACGACGACGCAATTCTTCGTTTCGCTTAGCATTCGCCCCTTGTTGTTTTTCATAATCATCCAATTGAGCACGACAGCTAGCATCTTGCTGTGCTCGAATTTTCCAGTAATTGCCACGTTCTTCAAAGTAATTTAAACAAATGAAATCTAATATGATTTTGATCTACTCGTGTTTTATTTACCTGTATTACACCAAACAAACCATCTTTGCGTTATTTGCGGTACTTCCTGGCAATTCGATCGATAGTGATACTGTTGATTACAAATTGAACAAAACTCGTTCGAACAAGCATTACATTTGACTCGAAAACGTTCATTGGGGTTTCGCACTTCCACTACCCATTTACAATCTCGATTCGGACATTTAATTATGCCACGAGCATTGTTAACGAAATTAGCAAATGTCTTCTGTATTTGATATTCATGAAACTTTCTCTTCTGATTGCGTGACACTCGTAATTGATTAATATCTCCATCCTGCAATTGATAATTACATAAAGCGCACGTAAGCACTTCACCACTATTCATCTTAGCTGTGCATGATTGCTCGAAGCAAGTGTAGCACAATTTATGATCGTCCTTGCATCCGAAAACGAAAATATCCTCGTATGGATATGATTCCATGCAAACACCACAGTCGAGAGTAGGCACTTTGTATGGAAATTCATCTTCTAAAATCGAAGAAAAAAAGACACTTTTAATCATGGACAATCGAAATAGTGAGTAGTTTGCACTTTTTTCGATCAGTTTCTATTTCATGAATCGTGTTAGGTCCTGTTAGTGTGTGCATGCTGCTCAGTTTTTCAAAGTTTTCTCCGGCTTTCAAGACGAAAGAAATCATTTGAATTTTCTCATCTGAAAGCTTAACCGAACACAATCAAATAAAAAAAAAACAATGGACAAAGAAAGCGGCTGATTTTAAGAATTCTGTCAATTGACCTTCAACATCATGAGAGAACATACCGAATGCAGCCAAGCCGTCGACAATTTCATGTGGATCAATCATCCGTCGCTTTTGCTTTTGAAGTTCAATGTAATAACGAACTTGTACTGGTGTAAATGGATATTTCGATTTCGATATAATAAAATCTATAAATGCTTCTTGTCTTTGGTGTACTGGAATATTATGACAATATCGGTAATGTTCATCCAATTGATGAAATCTATATAGACAGTGGCAAGATTCACATGGAACCATATCATCTGGATCGCATGATGCCACATGCTTTTGAAATCTTGACATGGTTTTGAATTCACCATAGAAAAGACATTTAGGACATTGAGCACGTCGTTCTATAGTAACAAGAGCCGATAAATGTGTAATCATATTCTCATCAAATGGTAAACATGCCACATCATATTTTGACAGTTGATAATCACAAACGCCCGTAAAACAAACTGGATTGGTCTTTGATTCTATATGTTCTTCCATCGATTTTTGTATACAAGGGATACAATATTCGTGATGAAATCGGCATGGCATCACATGATTCAGAAGACCGTTAGAAGCAAATGATGATTTGCTTAAAAAAAAGAAACATACAATCGAAATCTATAGGTTCCATGGATTGTTCACAGTAGGCAATGAGAAATCAAAAAATAAAGAGAGCCTATAATTTAGTGAAACGTGATTGATCAATACGGTTGAAGTAATGTTTAAAGATGCTCATTGGTGCTTTATATTGTATCCTTTCGACATCATCTTACAATTTTTTTTCAAAAAGACTGCTTTGACAATATTTTCCTTCGATTTTGAAATTATTGTACCCGAGCAATTGATTCAGTAAGAAACGACTTTGTGTTTTGACTTGATGTTGTGATTTATTAGTTATTTAGAATAATCTTTGCATATTCGAACATAAGAACACATAAAGATCTAATCTGGTCTGATTTAACGAAAAAACTCTGAAGTCATAATCACGATACATTGGACTCTACGTAGTTCACAACATCCTCAAATAAAATCCATAAAAAATCTCAATCATTAAAACATTCTATTGTGCGAATCAAAAGTCTGGTACCTCTTTTTTTTGTTTTTGAGTCGTGTATTGAAACTACACAACATTAATCTAATTCAATGATATGTTTGGATAGCAGAGATCAAGTACTATCAATATACACCTGTTGAATTCGAAAAACCTCTCGAATATGAAACACGATAAGAAAAACAAACTTCGATATGAGGAAAAGAATGACATGCAAAACTACAAAATAATAGTAAAAATATATGAAAGACTTTTGTTTTCCAATATGAATTGTTTATGCACGTTTTGTAGAACTTTCGACAAAACATCTTTTGAAAAAGAAAGCAAGATGTTATCATTTTCTTAAGCCGAGATACGTGCAAAATGTAAAAGTCTTTCCAACATTTTTATGATGTTAGATACTGTGGAAAGTAGCACTATCATGTTTGTCTTCAGTTTCGAGTATGGAAGAAACCATCAGAACAAATCAATAGCGATTTATTTTTACAGTTTTTGTAGAGCTTTTCACGGCGCCTCTTTCAAAACCAGGATTTTGTCATTTGTCTGTATAGTGATATTCGTAAAACAAAATTATGTCGCAAACATTTTGGGAGACTCGACATTTCAGTATTTAATATTTTGACTATTAACACCGTCCTATCTCAGTGAAATCCAAAATGATTTTTTTACCAAAATGAACAGCCAAAAATGTCCTACGAAGTCTCATAAAATAAAAAATTTTCTAAATATTCTGTTTGTCTTTTAGTTGCCTGACCACGGAAGTATCTTATAACAACCATATGATTTTGTAGTCTTTTTACATAATTTTTTTCTTGGTATTGAAGTTTATTTTTCTAATTGTATTCCATATTCAAGAGTTTTTCGAATTGAGCAGGTATATATTAATAGTACTTGGTCTCTGCTATCCAAACATATCATTGAATTAAATGAATGTTGTGTAGTTTCAGTACACAACTTAAAAAATGGAGATACTAGATTTTTGACCCGCACAGTAATTCAATACGAATGTTCTACTCACCAAACGAAACATGTAGAGTGTTTTCTTGGAACTGAATGAGTCGAACGTGATGAATTATTAAGACACGCATTTACATGAGCGATGTATTCGTTGTCCGCAATTGGCTTTGAGCAAATTATACACGGTTTAGTCTTGTTTGAAGTCGTCATTGATTTGCAGCACATCTGTACATGTCTTATATAGTGTGCTTCATCGATGAATTTAAAACACAAAATGCATTTTCGACCGCCAACCGAATTCGAAGTGTCGGTTATTTGTTGTTCATCACTATCATCGTTGATTGTTCTAAGTAGGGAATTAAAAGGATAAAATAAATTCTAAATGCAAGTCACAATATTTGCGTTTCTCTTGAAAACATATATTGTTGAATGGAAATCAACTAGCTTGGATCGAAAATTGCGTGGTAAAATAGTTTTATGATGTTTCTGTTTGCTATACGTATACAGTAATAGATGTCAATAGCAAGCGGATCTTATGAATCACCCAAAGATTCAGTCTATATCGAATTACTGACTTTCGTTTATAATTAGTTGTCATGGTCTATATGGCTGCTCAGTTTAAATAAATCTAAAGTTTTTTTCCAAAGCATTTTATATCCCTCTAGACCTTTCACAAATGTAAAAATAGCTACTACCACGTATCAACCATGTGGAGACTCTATTAGTCTTCCAGTTTTCTTCCAGAAGAACGACTAAACCCTGATTGAATCATATATGTCAAACTTGAAAGTTGAATTCAATTGAAATTTCAACTTTCAACTTTCAACTTTCAAACACATAACGCGCTCTCACACATATAATCGCAGCAAGTGAGGGTACCACAAATGGACTTCCGGAATTGTCAAACCGCACAGGTTTTGAAACTTGAAAGTTGAAATTTCAGTTGAAAGTTGAAATTTCAGTTGAAAGTTGAAATTTCAATTGAATTTAACTTTCAAGTTTGACACTACTGAATTTTGTCTCGAAAACCTTTCTTCTAGCAACTAGAGCGAAACCAAAGTTCCAATATTTTTTTATTCTTAAGGAATACTGTTTCCTTCACATACAAGAATCAAAATTTCCGAAGCGTCGTCATAAATCAAATTTCAACTATTTCAAATAATTCACCTTAATTCATTAGGAGAATATTTTTTGCCGACAGACACAGACGCCCGATTTGGCTCGAACTTGTTAGATATAATTTCAAGTTAATTTGTCAGAGTCCATACAATTTGAGACGCTTCAATATTTTTCAGAAAAATAATATTTACAAATTGGTCGAAAGAAAATTTAGTCAAATGTTTTGATTCTGAAAATAAGTAAGTTTGTATTGCCAAGGGTGTACATCGAGACGTTGGATAGAGAGAAAAAATTCAGAACTGAATATTTCGAAATTATGAGATAAGAAAGGAAGCTAGATGGCGGAATACTTTTAAGAAAATAATATATTTTCAATGTTGAAGAGTTTTCTATGTGAAAAAAAGTCTATACGCGATATACGAAGATAAGAATAACTTACAGATTGAACTTCGTTTGTCTCAACTGGGGAGTGAAGCCCTCGGCCATATGTAGACGTAAATAAGGACACAATCAACAAAATATTTGAAACAATTCTGTTCCCGAAGACTATCGTCGATAAATATATAGGTAGTTGCTTGTCGCTTTTTTTATTTGCAAAAGTTTCTTTTTATCTGAGAACAGAGTCGACAAAAAAAACGTGGTTTATTTGCTGTCTGTCCAATAAAGCATGCTCGAGAGAAGAAAAAAGAACGCCGAGAATGAGAAAAAAAACTTTTTCATGTTGACTCGATTCATTATATTACAACACTCTCGTCCGTGTTGCTGTTTCTTTCCTACCACTGCAGCGAGTGTTACAACAACAAGAAATACTCGATAATGCTTTGAATAAGAGCCTATCTACTATGGAAAAGGTGCAGATTTCTATTTATACTCGCTGGGTAAAAAAGCCTCATTCAGTTGGGGTGTGGGTGGGTGTGGGTGTGGGGTGTGGGTGTGGGTTGTGGGTGTGGGTGTGGGTTGTGGATGTGGGTGTGGGTTGTGGGTGTGGGTGTGGGTGTGGGTGTGGGGTATGGGTGGGTGCGGGTGAGTGGGAGTGGGTGTGGGTGTGTGGGTGGGTGTAGGATGTGGGTGTGGCGTGTGGGATGTGCGATGTGCATGTGCGTTCGGGTATGGGTGTGGTTCTTCTCTTACCTAACACCCACCCACACCCACACCCGTACATACACATATATGAACATTAACAATTATGTTATAAATGGTTCATTTACATGCAAATCCACATTAATAAAACATCATTTCTGAATGATGATGGACACGAATTGAAAATTTAAAATAAAATCATATTATATTATTATTATGAAAAATTATATTGTTATATGTTTTTTGTAAAACATAATGTTTCAAATAAAAAAGCTTTTGAGTGAATAAAGAAGAGAATGATATTAATTTTTCTTGTTGCTCAACTTATACTATTATTTTTATATATTAAAAATCCATGTTATGTACAAAAATTTTATGGCACTTTTATTTCCACATTTTCCTGTCTTTTTCGCTTTAACATTTATTTCAATATTTTTATATGATTAACATGTTTTGTCTTGCGGTATTTCTGTCTTCGACATTATTTGTTTGATGCTTCCTACACATACCAAGTAATCAATGCAAACATATTTGTTGAGATGTTGCAGACGAATGCGCCATGACGGAGCACTGAAGCATAACGCAACATAAACATTTCTACATCTACAGAAAAAAAGAACGACTAGTAATTAGTTGTATGCATATACAAGCAGTAGTAACATGTCCATTGAATATGAGTTGAAAACAACAGAAGCACTTGATCACTCTACCAATATTAATATGGAGATTATTCAAAGCGAGGCACATGAAAATACTAGCAACATAAGCGAACTCAATCCGTCTTACATTGAAAACCATTCTCAAGATGATCAGGTATATACTCATGTCCTAGTTAATTAATTTATTCTAATTTTTTTGGAACTCAATTAGGGATTCATCTCCTATTTTCAGCATGATGTTTATATATAAAATTAAGTGTTGCATAGTATTTATTTCCATCCAATAACTCTTGATCTGCCGGAAGATCCTACTCTGCATCGAAATAAGTTTTTCAAAGAAAAGTCAACAACTTAGTTTATTCCATCGCAAAATGAAACATGTCTGAAATATTTTTCTCGAAGTAGTCATTTTCCAATAGTCACAAGTAATTATTAATTTGATGTCAGCAGAGACTTATGTATGGAGAAGTACTACTTTTCAAATGTCATAAAATCCAGTAACTTCGAAAATCGAAAACGTCGCACGACTTTCGTGAATCATACATGAAAAACATAAAATAAATGATATTTCTGATGATGAAACGGACATTATTTTTGATTGTTTTCATTTTCATTAATGAAAATGAATGTTTTCATTGAAGACATTCTATGACATTGGTTTTTAATCAAAGTCATGGTAGTATTTGATGAAAATATTCGTTTTCATCGTTGAAAGCGAACAACATCAAAAATAATGCTCGTTTCATTATTTAAGTAGTATTATTTTGTCATTTTTGAAGTCACTGAGAGTCTTCTTCCTCTTTTATTAGTTGATGTATTAGTGCTATTATTAGAGTGTTTTCCAAATGCATTGAATATGTTGAACTTGACGACAATCCTATGTTCCAGACTTGAGCAGAATTACAGTTCCTAAGTTATCATAAGAAAAATTTCTTCGTCGTTTCAATATCATACAGAACACTTAATCTTCTTTAGCTGATTATTTGTATTAATAAATGACTAGAAAATATACTGAAGACACCATGAAAGCTAATTAAATTAGGTGTCGTTCATTGAATAAACGATGCATCGTTAAAGCTAAGGGAATGAAATTCAGATTAAAAAGAAAATATTAATTTTGTATTCGTCATGTGTAACCTACCATTTGCATCTTAACGATATGAACCTCATACTAACAAAATAAAATACTCCTTTTATAGTTATGATATGTAACTTACCATCTTTGCATCTTACAGATATGAGCCTAAATATTAAAAAAAATTAGTTAGTTTCTATTTGTAATATATCACTTACCATTAGTATTTCATCAATATGAAATTCAACTCATATGTAACTTACAATTAGAAACGATGATTTCCTATCATGCATTTTCTATCTGAGAAAAGCAGTCATTCAACAGAGGAAGAAAACGATAAATTTAATAAAAAAATGTGGAGAAAATAAAAAACTGTTTAGCAATAGAAAACTAATGTAACTTTTTAAGCCTGGTCATTCTGAAAACGGTAGTAAAAATGCACTTCCTCGACAAATCGTAATGTCGATACAATAAGGTTCACTCCAGTGAAAATGAATAATAGTCGAGTATAATTCTATCGTCCTGAATCTTCAGATTGAAGACTTAATCTTTTAATTTATTCGATTGCAAAATAAAAGTAAGGAAAATATCGAAAAAAAGAGGACAATTTTAGAACAATAATTCGTTGCTCTTTTGAAAACAATATACACACATGTGGATTAGATGCCATATAAATGACAATAACCTGTTCACATGTTCCCTCCAATTGAAGTTTTTCACTTGATTTGAAAGTCTGCGATCTTGTGTTGTTTAAGAATAAAACAGTTATAATAATCATCTCAAGTCAGACCCTTCTGGCATTCTCAATCTTTGCAACTTTTAACAGTCATGATGGCTATATTTAATCGTTATTGTATTGAAATTTGATGAGAAAAGACCAGAAAAAAAAAAAAATTTTATATTAATAATATTATTTTCTTTCGAATTATTAACATAATATTTTTTTTCATGTATCCAAAATTGAGATTAGCTCAAGAATGTAAAGATAGCATTAGATTATTTTGAAAGTATGAAATGGTTTTAGATTTCAAAAAAAGGTTGATACCAGGAAAGAATGATTTGTAATTAAATACGTTATATTAAGTATATGTGCAGTTTTCAGTTCACTAAAAATTTCTAAAGTTGAGCGAAAATAACTATCAGAAAAGAAAAATCAAACACCAAAACACGATGACGTTTCCGATACCAAGAAAAAGGTAGTTCAAAATATTTTCAGAGTGTCGAAATCAATATTTTAGGAAATCCAAGGGTTTCTGAACGTTCGAAAACCAAAAGGGTATTGTCAGAAACTCTTCAAGTGACTGGAAACCTTGTCGAAAATATTTGAAGATTTGCGAATGGGTTTTCGAACGTGTTTGGGTTTTCCAGGAAACGGTTTTTTTTTAGAGAGCAGAAGTATTTCAGAGAAATAATGTCTTTGCATAGAGAGAAACCAAGAAAACGAATTTCTAGTAACTGGATAACGGATTCCGATTCTTCGATCTCGGAAATTTTTGAGCAAGATGTATAAAAAAATCATTATTTCACCGAAATATCCTTCTCCTATCGACTTTTTAAAGTGATGAGTTTCTCGATATCCATTACTTGATATTCGATAATGTAGTAGTAACTTTCCTTCCTGAATTTTCGTCTTGCATTGCATATTCAATGAATAACACCTAATTTAAGTAGCTTTCATGGTGCCTTCGGTATTTTTCTAGTCATGTATTAATACAAATAATCAGATAAAGAAGATTAAGTGTTCTGTTATAGTGAAATAATGGAAGAAAATTTTTTTATAATAACTGAGGAATTGTGCTGACATTAAATTGATAATTATTTGTGATTTTTGAAAAATGACAACTTCGAGAAAATCTTTCAAACATGTTACATTTTGCCATTGTACAAACTAAGTTGTGAATTTTTCTTTGAAAAACTCATTTTAATACAGAGTAGGATCTTTCGACAGATCAAAAACTATTGAATGGACGGAAATACTATGCAACAGTTAGTTTTTAGATAGATGGCATGTTGAAAATAGGAGATATATCTCCTATTAAGCTCCAAAAAAAACGATAATAATTTAATTTATTTTTTATTTTTATAAATTATGAAGTGCAAATAATATAAGTTTATCTTAAATTAACAGGAAAATGAGACCATTGCTTCTTTTCAATCTCATTGTACATTACAGTTATTATTAATTTTGAAGTAAGACGATTGCGAAGCTAATTTAGTAATGGAAAGAATTATTATAAACAGACAGAATCGAGTTGCTCGTAGAGACTCAGATATCAGTTAACATTTTCGTCTTTGTATTAAACTCTGATAATTTAATCTTATCATTTTGACAGTAAAGTATATGTTATCTTGACTGCCTGTTAGTCAAAGACTGTCACAATATCAATAGGTTTCTTTATGACAACAAACTTGAACTAGGTTCATTTGATTCAACCTAAATTCACTAAGACAGATCTTCTATTGAAGAGGTCTTAAATGGCGAGCGATATACCTTGTCACAGCAACCTATGTACGTTTATCGGTTTTCGTTATCTTGATTCTTGTTTGTTGATAAGTTTTCATTCTCAAACATTGTTCATATCTATTATGTCTGAGAAGAAATCTTAAACTTTTGTGCTTACTTTTTTTCGTTTAAGTACTATCAGCCACGCAGAATTAAGAAGCAACAGGGTCATAGAAAGAAGCAACGAAGGTCAATGAAAGGAGTTGATAATCACAAGTTCGATACAATAATTGAGCGTAATGGTGAAGAGATAAATGATCAGCAATCTGTCCAGACATTAGATTTTCAAGCCCAAACTGATTCAATAAGCAATTCTGTCAGTCCGAATGCAAATTCAAATGAAGAAAATACCATTCATGATTCAAATGCGATTATAGCAGTGGAAGACACCAATAGAATTACTGTTCAGAAAGACACAAGAAATAATCGGCTGATTGCAGTCGGCGGTGTCACTGGCATCAAGGAGGATCTCGATCCTGTGATAGGATATGCTGCAGAACCTTTGTTACCACTTCACGAAGCATGTGCTCCGTTGTTCGACATCCTTCACAATTTATCATTCTACGTAGAATTGGCGCTCAATGAAACACCAGAAGAGCCACCCGATAGGTTGACTGTGGACGAGAGTGCTTCGATTCGTCTCTATACTATTGAATGGGAAAAACCTCATCGAAGTCTCTATTCAATGCTTAATTACACTCTCAAAACGGCTTCACGTGAAGAACTTCGACCTTATTTCAAATATATGAAATTGTTTTTGACTGCTCTCGTCAAGTTACCCTGTATTCCACCACTGACGGTTTGGCGAGGTGTAGCCAAAGATTTAAGTGCTGAGTTTCCACCAGGCACTCTTGTGACATGGTGGGCATTTTCTTCATGCACAAGTGCACTGCCTGTATTGGAAAATAATATGTACTTAGGTTCGGAAGGTGAGAGAACTCTTTTCTCGGTCGAAGCAATCAATGGTCGAACCGTGCAAGCTCATTCACATTTTGTTACGGAAGATGAAATTCTTCTTTTGCCTGGTACACACATGGAAGTTCAATCACAGTTTAGTCCCGCAACTGATCTTCATATCATTCATTTGAAGCAAATAAAACCGGTCG